CCGGTCGGCGTCGTTGACACTGCTGTACTTGCACGAAAACGCAACTGATCTGGGTCAGATGTACGACTTGTTCAGTGAACTCAATGTTCATCTCCGAGTTAATGTTGCAAAACCCAGGCCGAGATCATCATCGCCATGAACCAAACCTCAACACTGTCACCTTAACCCCAAACCTCACTGCCACCACAGCCGTAAATTACGTCGCCGTTGTAGTCGCCCAAAATCAGTACGGCGAACTGTTTAGGATCAGGCCAAAGACATTTCGGTAAATTCTTTGACGGCGACCCACCATCGGTCTCTTCAGATCGCCTCTCTCTCTCTCTCTCTCTCTATATATATATATATATATATATATATAAAGAGAAGGTACTTCAGTCATTTATCATAGATCATTAAGGGCATTTCAGTAAATTAGCCAGATCTGTTAGTGTATTTGATGGTCCATCACACATAAGGGAAGTCCGTGTAGAATATTTTTAAAAATAGGGGAGGTCCGCGTAATTTTCAAAACAAGAAGAGTACCGCATATAATTATGACAAACCATAGAGGAGGTCTGTGTAAATTATACTTTTATTTATATATTTATTTTTTATTTATTTATTTATTTTCCTTGGCTTTGAAATTTCATGTGGCTAGGATTTGTTACTATTGAGAGACATTGTCTATGGAACGGGAAGAGGATGACCCCCTTATCCCTGACATATCCAAAGATAAGGTGGAGGCAGCCAGACCCAAATGGCCCACGGGGCCCCATGAAGATGTTGGTCTAGAACTGTTAGGGCTTGGGTAATTCCCTGACAGTTCGACAATTACAGAAACTGATCCAACTTCATTCCCCCACTTTTGTTCTGTTTTGGAAACCAAAAATGGTAAGTCTTTGTTACAAAAGGTACAGTGGCAAATAAATTTTCAATTTTCTTGTTTTGTTCCGCCTTGCGGAATGACAGGGGGTATAAGCTTATGGTGGCAGGAAGGTGTGGATTTCCAAATCTGTGCCTCTATGGACTTTCACATATCTGGGGTGGTCACTGATGGCCACGGTCGGCGTTGGGGTTTCTCCGTGGTTTATGCTAGTTGCCATGATAGTGTTCGAGTTGAGCAGTGGGGTTTTCTTCGTTGCATGGTGTAGCAATGGCGTTTTTCCTGGCTTTTTATGGGGGATTTTAATGAGATTCTACATTCGGGCGAAAAGTTTGGTGGTCGTCCCAAGCCATTTTGGGTGTTACATGGGTTTAAACAATTGATCAATGACTGTGGTCTCTGTGACTTTGGATTTACAGGCTTTCCTTTCACTTGGAATAATCAGTGAAGTGGGCGGGATAATATTCGGGAAAGATTGGATCGTGCTTTGGCTTCTGCTAACTGGCGTCTCCATTTTCCCCAAGCCTCTCTTTCTCATTTGACGATGGCTGGTTCAGATCATGCTGCCTTGTTGCTTAATCTTTACCCAGCCTGTTCTTCTCAAGTCCGGCAATTTCATTTTGATGCTCGTTAAGCTAATAATCCGGAATGTCACCATCTGTTGGAAGAGGCTTAGAACACTCCTATTTATGGATCTCGTCTTTTTTGTTGGGCGTCCAAGTTAAAAGTCTGTAAGTTGAAGTTGAAAGCTTGGGCTCGGCAGTGGCAACTTAATTCTCGCCTCAAAATTGTCACAGCAAAAACGTATCTTAAGGCTGTTCAAGAAAACCTCTCTATGTATTGCCATGATAAAGTTCTTGAGGCTGAGTGTGAATTAAACAAATTATGGCACGAAAAAGAGCTTTTTTGGAAGCAAAAATCCTGAGTGACTTGGTTGCAACTCTGAAGTCGGAATTGAATTTCAGGAATAAAGGATCAGCAGGGGCGTTGGATAGAGGATGATGTTGCAGTGCAAGATATTTTTCTGACATATTTCCAGACACTTTTTACATCTCAGTCCCCATCATCTATGGACCAGTTCTTACGCTATGTTAATCATGTGATCACTAATGAAATGAACCAGCAGTTGTTGAGGCCAATAACGGAGGTTGAGGTAGAGCAAACTGTTTTTTCTATGGCACCTTTCAAAGCACCAGGGCTTGATGGTATGACCCCATTTTTTTTCCAAAAATTTTGGAGTGTGATTAAATCTGATGTTGTTCATGCAATCTCCAGCTTTATATATTCGGGTTTCATGCTATCTAGTTTGAATCATACTAATATTGTTCTTATTCCAAAGGTGAAATCTCCTACATAGGTTACTCATTTTCGCCCTATTTCTTTATGTAACGTCGCCTATAGAATCACTTCTAAGGTGCTTGCTAACTGTCTTATATCTGTGATTGCTTCCTGTGTTAGTGATACTCAGACTGCTTTTTATTTCGGGTCGCCATATCACTAACAATATCCTTGTCGCCCATGAAGTTCTTCACTATCTGAAAAATAAAAGACGAGAAAAAATCTTTTTTAGCGTTAAAGCTAGACATGAGTAAAGCCTTCGATTGAATTGAATGGCCGTTTTTATTTGCTATGTTACATCAGTTGGGTTTCCATCCCCACTGGCTTCACTTAATTTCGGCTTGCATTTCTACTATCTCATTTTCTATAGTTCTTAATAGGTGTCCAGTGGGTTTTTTTAAGCCCTCCCGGGGATTGCGACAAGGTGACCCTTTATCCCCGTACCTGTTTATTTTGTGTGCTAGAAGTTTGTCCTAAGTGTTTCAGTGTGCAATACAAATGAAAGTTTTGACTGGTGTTCGGATTTGCCGTGGTACTCCTTCATTATCACATTTATTTTTTGCAGATGATTCTATCATTTTTCGCCAAGCCACTAGTTCTGAGTGCTCTCTATGAAGCGTATCCTTCAGGCTTATGAATGTGCCTCGGGGCAGATGGTGAATTTTTCTAAGTCATCTATTTTCTTCTCTAATAACACTGACACTTCTCGACGTTCCCTCTTCTGCCGTCTTCTGGGTATTCAGGAAGAGGGTTTGGCAGCTCGTTATTTGGGTTTGCCTGCACTTATTGGCTGCTCAAAAAATGACATGTTTAAATTTGTTTTGGAAAATGTTCAAAGTCAATTGGATGCTTGGCGATCTACTTTTCTTTCAAAAGGTGGTAAGAAAATCCTTATTAAATCAGTCTTAAGTGCTTTGCCCACGTATGTTATGGCTTGCTTCCGGCTGCCTATTTCTATGTGTGATAAAATTATGCAATGTATTTGATCCTTCTGGTGGCGTAACAAGCCTGTTTCTCGTTCCGTTCATTGGTCTCACTGGGACTCATTATGTCTGAGTAAACATGCTGGTGGCTTGGGCTTTCGCAATATGCATGCTTTCAATTCTGTTTTGCTTGCAAAACACGCGTGGAATTTTGAAGTCCATCATTTGGGTTTAGCCTTTAAATTGTTCAAGGCAAAATATTTCCGTAACTGTTCTTTCATGGAAGCTGGTTTGGGGTCAAAACCTTCATGGGTATGGAGAAGCATATGGTCTGCCAAGCCTATTATTAAAAAGGGACTACGTTGGAGTGTTGGTGATGGTCGATCAATTAATATTTGGTATGATTTTTGGGTACCATCTTTGGAGAATTTGCAACTTTATGCGCCTTAGAATATTACTTTCACACATGTATTTGACCTTATTCATTTTGCTTCTCATTCATGGAATTCTCAACTCCTTTCTCAGCTTTTTCCAGTCTCCATGGTTGCTACTATTCGTAGTATTCCACTAAGTATGAGGGGTTGTGCGGATCGTCCAATCTGGGCCTTCACTGACAATGGTAGGTTTTCAGTCAAATCGGCTTATCATGTGGTCTTTTCATTGTTTCATCCTTCTTTGGCCAATCAATCCTGTAACTCTCGTTTCTGGAAGACAATTTGGTCTTGCGGTTGTCCACCTAAAGTTAAGCATTTTTTGTGGCAATGTGCCCATGGTGTTCTTGCAACCTGATCCGCTTTGAAATTTTGGGTTTTAATGCATAATGATTGCTATGTTTTATGTGGTGAAGCTCCAGAATCTGTAGAGCATCTTCTCTTCTGTTATCCCAAGTCTATTCTTGTCTGGAAGTCTTCTCCTCTGCATTTTGATTGCACTCACTGGGCTGTTGTTTCTTTTGAGGCTTGGTGGTTGGAGATGTGTCAATGTGGGGCTGATGTGGTTAACATGGTTTCTTTCATTGCTTGGGCGATGTGGAAAGCAAGAAATATGTTTATTTTTCAATTTCACTCTTCTTCCCCTCTTTAGATTGTGCAAAGGGCAATTGCCGCTTTTTGGGAATTTAAAGATGCTTCACATCTTCACCCGGTCATGCCTTCATCATCTTCCCCCTCTCATTCTCGTATTTGGCAGCCTCCAGCTTCTGGCTTTATCAAATGTAATATGGATGCATCTTTTTATTCACATTTTGGTTGGGCGGGAGGGGATCTTGTATTTCGTGATCACCGTGGTACCGTTTTGCGCGTGGTGATGCTTAAGTCCTTCCTTGCTTCTTCAGCTCTTTTCGCCGAGGCTTATGTCCTTCGTACGGCTTTGCTTTGGGGTCATGCTTTTAATTTCCGTTGTTTGTGCCTTGAGAGTGATTCTCTTATCCTTTGCAATGCTGTTAGGAAATTACGCACCTGTCCTTCTTCCATTTTGGCTTTGGTTTATGATATTCAACAGTTTTTGGAAACTTGTCCTTGGGTTCAACTTACTCATGTTCGTCTTGAGGCTAATTCGCTAACTCATGATCTTGCTCAATTTTCTCTTGCGCATCCCATGACTTGTCTTGTGTTCAATGGTTTCCCTTGACATATGGGTTATGTGTTGTTTGCTCTGTTGCAGAGATTGTGTTGCTTTTCTCTACTTTGTTTGTATTGTTTTAGACTTGTTTATTTGCCATGTTAAAAAAAAAAAAGAAAAAGAAAAAGAAAAAGAAAGAAAGATGGATATATAAAGTTAGATTGTGATAGTAGGTGGGGGTCCACTATTGAATAATGGTCATGTGATATTTATGTAGTGTCGGTGGAGTGCAATTTGCCTATATATATATTAAGTGTTGTGTGGCACTAAGAGATGAATTACAGAAGAGAAATTTGAGACACAGAGAGAGTGAGCCGAGAAAGATAAGAGAGAAAGAGAGAGAGCCAAGATGAGCAGACAGAGAGGTCCGAGAGTTGCAGAGAAGGCCGGAAGCTTGAGGCTTCAATGATCTAGTGAGGAAAAAAATTCTTTTTTTCACGGTAGGGGTCTCTAATTCATGGTATTCTTGTACTTTTGTGAATCTATTTCTTATAAATTGTTCAATTGCATATTTAATTAGCAAAAGTTCCTGAAAATTGTTTAAATGCCATATATGAAATTATGACAAGGTGTTAATTGATTATATTGTGTTTAAACATGCTTATGTGAAATGAGAATATGAGTTGTGTATTTTTAGTAATTTATAAATTTATTTTAAAAATTATGTGAAAAATTTATGGTTGAAATGATGAAATGAAGCATGAAGCATTCATGCATCCATTGAGAAAGAAATAGGGGGGAAATTTTTTTAAAATAAATGAATTTGTTCTTGGAAAGAAAAAAATATTTTTCAAAGTAGTTTGCAAAAACCGGATGCTTAGGAGGCGCTTAGCGGTCCGTGTTGTTAGTGTAGTCTAGAAGGGAGTATGGTTGAGCTAACTAGGCTGGATGTGACACCTTAGAGGTGCCTTGTAGTCATGGATAGTTCGTCAACCCTCCATTCGTGACGCCTTGGATGTGTCTTGGGTCGGATTACACTAACTGTTTGGAAGTTGAAACGGAAATGTTTCAGAAAATGGGAAGTGACATTTGCATAATATTGCACTTTATGACATTGTGGTAAACTTGTGATTGGTTGATATTTGTTACATACTTGTTGTTATGGTTGAGAATGTGTATTTCCCTATGGCATGATCCCGTTCACTTTTTATCTATTCATTGTATGGATTCACAGGGATATAAGAAGTGTGTCTTAGACACTTCCTACTGAGCTTATGCTCATCCCTTTATTATAAACATTTTTCAGGATACGGAAGGGAAGTGGCGGATGATGCTCCTCCACAGGGTTCGATGGGTCAGTGAACTGTTTTGACATATTTTGTAGTTATGATCTCATTTTGTTATTATTGTTATTACTATTTGTTTTTAAACGTTGGGATAACACGCATATTATCTTATTGACGTAGGAGAGTACGGTAGTATCCTTAGTTGACCTTGGTTTCAGATAAAGACCCGGTTAGCGATTCGGACCATCGGGTTCGGATCGTTACATATTATCCCAAAAATGAATAAGATAAGGCAATTATTAAATAAGGGAGGACTTCCACAAAATGATTTGAGTAGACAAGTATTATCTTATATATTTTGTCATCGGTATAAAAAACACACACTTCAGTCATATACCCACTTTGTTCCTTTAGGAATTCAAACCCTAACCATTCATTTTAAAAGGTAAAGAAGATACTACCGAGCCCTTTGTTACTTCATTTTGGCAATTATTGTACATAAGCTTTTGGCTCTGTTTGACCTTTAGTTTTTGTTTTTGTTTTTGTTTTTGTTTTTGTTTTTTTGTTTTTGTCAAAACTTTGGCTCTGTTAGATAAGCTATAGTTATTATTCCACCAAAAAAAAAAAAAAAAAAAAAAAGCCAAGGCAATTATTGAACGAGTGTGGAGGCAGAACAAATTTAGGTAAAGATGGTCAAAAGAGTCACTTCCACAAACTGATCTTCTAAACTTCAAACCATAACAAGAATCCCCACCCACCCACTAAAAAAATTAAAACTCAAATCCATGATTAATAAACAACCAGAATTTGCAATAGTTTGTCGGAAACAAATCCACCAAGTTTCTTTATCTACTACAGTGCATGATTTGTGAAAAATGAGTCATGTGGTGTTGACAGCTTCATATCTTATAATGACCAAGGGTAGAATTATCATTAATTGCCTTGGAAATATATTTGTTAATATATTCACTCACCCGAAATTCTCTATATACTGGAGGACTTTCTTCTGATATCAGCTCTCCGATAGGGCCATACAGCTTTGAAGGAACAGTAACACCCGTGATTAAACCTGCCACCGAAATTCTTGGTTCAACACCATTGGCCAGCACTTTGTGCTTAACACTAGTAAATTTGTCGTTTGATATAATCTGTGCCAAATTAAGATGTCATTAATTTCCGTTAAAATTCAAATTAAGATTTAGAATCAAGCATGATAAACTTACTCTAATTAATTATTTCTTTAACGAACCTGGAGAAGTCTCCGATGTTAACTACCAAACCTCCAACAATTGGTCGGACATCAACCCATTTGTCTTCATGCAAGACTTGGAGCCCTCCAATTTGGTCTTGCAGAAGAATGGTGATGAACGTAGGATCAGAGTGCTTGCTAGTTCCCAGAGTTAGGTCTGGCTCTGGGCATGCTGGATAGTAGTGGCAAGCAAAATTACGCCCTACAGAGCATTCCATGTCTGTTAGAGTGTCCGGTTTGAGGCCAAGAGCCTCTGATAATAATTCGAACAGGGTATCTCCCAACTTTGAAACATTCTTGATTTACTCAATTGCCGTATCTCTGCAGAGTAAAGAAAATTAATGTGATAGAATCATAGAAGTCTGATAGAAACTGGACATCGGAAATACACTCCATAAGAAATATATACGTATATGTACCAAAAGATGTGGGGAATGTCATATGTACAAGTACAGGGTATAGAGCTAAGTGCAAAACTGAACAATATATATAACTAATGCACAAATTAAAACTTAAGATGCTACCTGACAGACATGGAGATGTTGTCGAAGAAAAGCCTACAGCTACGATGGCCTGCACTCATTATCAAGGACCTAATCAACTTTGTTTTGATTACATATGGATTAGATACCGATACAACTATCAGTAATATTGTCATAACATCCGAGATGATGCCAACTTGCCTAAATTGGTACAAGCTAATGAACCTTAGGCCCTACAGTTTCTTTCACTACGAGTTGCTTGCTAGGTGATGACACATATATGTTTACCATAATATGAACCATATATGTTTACCATCATCTTCCCAATGTATCTGTCACAGAGATGACATGCCAAACACATCTTAAAGAAGAAACAATTGTGATAATTTTCACCTATTATTAATGAAGACATATTTCTCCTTAATATTGTCTAAATATGCCCTGTTTGTGGCATACAATTCCACCCAAAGGAAAAGTTAGCAGTATGACAAATATTTGAATTTGAACTAATTATACTGATATAATTTTCTATATAATTTTCTTCTGAAGTGGGGAAGATGTTTGATACAACTAATTATACTGATATAATTTTCTTCTTAAGTGGGGAAGATGTTTGATACAAATTTATATTTTGGTGTTTGTATTTATGAATAACAGGATTTTAGTGAATCAATGACCCAAATTTGCAACACTATTCAACATCAAATTAGTTATGTACTTGGCAAAAAATCACCCACCCACCCCAACTGGCTTATCAATTAAGTCTAACAACATGGACAGACAATTGAGGTTGAAGAATAGAGGTAGAGAGAAAAACAAAGGACCTGCAAACCTGTAATGTCTGTGTAAGTGCATATGCGTATATATTTGTGTGTGTGTGTGTGTAAAAAGAGAAGAGAAAAGAAAAGGAAAAAAAAAAAAATGTGGGACCCACGCTCCTTTTAAGTGGATTGTGAGACCACATTTGGTCTCTGCCTTCTCTCTCTCTCTCCTGTCTCTTTGTTTCCTCTCGGCATTTTCTTTGTTTTTTTTTTTTTATTTTCCAAAGTCAAGGCTTGATTTCTCCCTCAATTCTTAGTGTTTTTAAGTGCCGTTTGCGGCAAAACGGAGAGTACGGCGAGCTCTACACATGTGTACCAGTAATTTCAGTTTTGAGCAACCTAGGGAGTCCTAAAATCTTGACCCATTTTGAGGGTTTGTGGTGCAAATTAGGAGTTTTTGCATAACATAGAGGTAGGGGTCTCTAATTCCTACAATCCTGTTCCTTTGTGAATTAATTGTTCTTGGTTAGTGTCCTAGTATGCTAAATTGTGATGATTGTTCCTTTGTAAATTAATTTTTCTTGATTAGTATCCTATTAGTATTCTAGCATGCTATATTGTGATAATTGTTCCTTAAAGTGACTAGATTGTATATATGAAATATGTGAAAAGGTGTAATTAATTTAATTATAATGTGTATTTAATTGAATTGTATGAAAAAAAAATAATAATAATAATAAAATAAAATAAAAACATGCTTAATGTGTTAGTTTTCCATGCCAATTAATTTGTTAGAAATTTATGTAAAAGCTTGTTAATTGTGTGTTAAAAATTCTCTCAATTTCCATATATGCACATAAGCATTGGGTATGAAAGAAAATGGAAAGTGTTTTGAAATGAAATTAAAAGGAATTTTGGGGGAGAATTTGATAAAATGGTTTTTTTGAGAAAACCCCGGTCGCCATGGAGTCATCAAAGGGCCGGTGTGTTAATATAGCTTAGAGGGAACTAGGGAGATTGCCCTAACGTGGTTGAGCTATCTGGGCCCCAAATGACGCTGCGGGGGTACCAAAGGTCAGGGACAGTAGCTAATCCTTCTCTCGTGTCGCTGCGGAGTCACCAAAGGGCGGGTTATATTAACAGTTTGTGAAATGATAATATTTTTCTGAAAATAGGGAGTGACATGCATAACATTGCATTCATGGCATAAGATTTATTTGCTTTGAACTTACGATTGATATTGTGTTTTCCTAGCTTTGCATGACCCAAAATTCCTATTGTCCTATTCTTTATTTGGATTCACGGGGACACAAGAGGTGAGTCTTAGGCACCACCTACTGAGCAATTTTGATTACCCCTTTTAATAAAACATTTTTTACAGGAAACGGGAAAGAAGTGGCGGATGACATTCTACCACAGACTTAGTATGGATTAGGAACTTATTTTGTTGTTTTTGTACTTGGGTTACTCTATTTTTGTAAGACTAAGCATAATTTATTTTGTACGATGACTTATGGACTTTGAATATTATAATTATACCTGTGGGCTTGTAAAGCATAAACATTTTATCTTAATTTTGTATTTTGGAACTGTAATTATGATACTTGGATGATATAGTATGTGATTGTACCACCATGGAATGTATTAGATGTTTATTGTGTTGGGATAGGTTAAAAATGTTTTTAAATAGGTTGTTGTAGGACGATTTTTAGCAGAGGTTATGCCGAATTTTTTTTAAAATTTTGGCATCAGTTAGGGTCATTACAAATTGGTGAGACAGTGAAAGATTGGACCTTGCATGCAGATGGGGGTCTACAATTCAAGGGTTTATTGGTGGTTTCCACGGTTTGTCGTGAGGACGTCTTACTGGAGTTTCACACTTCCCGCTTTGCAGTTCATCTAGGTGATACCAAGATATATCACAATTTGAGACGTCAGTATTGGTGGAATGGGATAAAGAAAGATGTTGCTCAGTTTGTGGCTATATGCCTCACCTGTCAGCAGGTGAAGGCCGAGCATCAGAGACCAGCTGGTTTGTTGCAACCATTACCTATAGGGCAGTGGAAATGGGAACATATTACTATGGATTTTGTGACAGGTCTTCCAAGGTCACGAAGGGGCAATGAAGCCGTATGGGTCATCGTTGACAGATTGACTAAGACGGCTCACTTTTTGCCTATTAAGGCAACAGACGATGCAAAGAAGCTTTGTGTACTTTATGTGAAGGAGATTGTAAGGTTACATGGAGTTCCTGTAACCATTGTGTCAGATAGGGATGTTAAGTTTACTTCGAAGTTCTGGGAAGGACTTCAAGCAGCGTTTGGTTCAGCATTGCATCTTAGTACGGCATTCCATCCACAGACAGACGACCAGTCGGAGCGTACTATCCAGATCTTGGGGGATATGTTTCGGGCATGTGTGCTTGACTTGGGTGGTAGTTAAGAATATTATCTACCGCTTATTGAGTTTGCTTATAACAATAGTTATCAGACGAGTATCTAGATGGCTCCATTTGAGGCGTTATATGGTAGACCTTGTAGGTCTCCTGTTTGTTAGACTGAGGTGGGTGAGACCGCCGCTTTAGGACCCGACATAGTACTTGAGACTACCGAGAAGATTAAGCTGATCAGACAGAGGTTACTTACAGCTCAGAGCCGACAGAAGAGTTTTGCGGATAAGCGGAGACGGCCGTTATCCTTTGAAGTGGGAGACCACATTTTTCTTCGAGTTTCTCCACGAAATGGGTTATTGAGGTTCGGGAAGAGTGGCAAGTTATCACCAAGATTCATAGGACCTTTTGAGATTTTGGACCGTGTAGGAGAGGTTGCCTACACTTGCTTTGCCACCACAGTTAGACAGGGTCCACAATGTTTTCCATGTATCGATGCTACGAAAGTATGAGCCAAATCCATCTCACATTTTGAGTTGGGTTGATGTGGACATTGATGAGGATGTTTCCTATGAAGAGAGACCAGTTCAAATCCTTGACACATAGCAGAAGGTGTTGAGGAACAAGACAATACCAATGGTGAAAGTTCTTTGGAGACACCACGGAGTCGAGGAGGCTACTTGGGAGCTTAAACAGGAGGTTCGCTCCAAGTACCCAGCGTTGTTTTCTTCCTCAGGTATGTCTTGATTTCGGGGACGAAATCTTTTAAAGTTGAGGAAAATGTAATGTCTGTATAAGTGCATATGTGTATATATTTGTGTGTGTGTGTGTGTGTGTGTGTGTGGTGCACTTTAACAGCAAAAGAAAAAAAGAAAAAATAAATAAATAAATAAATTGTGGGACCCACGCCCATTTTAAGTGGATTATGAGACCACATTTGGTCTCTGCCTTCTCACTCTCTCTTTTTCCCGTCTCTGTTTCTCTGTTTCCTCTCGGCATTTTCTTTGTTTTTTTTTTTTATTTTCCAAAGTCAAGGCTTGATTTCTCCCTCAATTCTTAGTGTTTTTAAGTGCCGTTTGTGGCAAAACGGAGAGCACGGCGAGCTCTACACGTGTGTACCAGCAATTTCAGTTTTGAGCAACCTAGGGAGTCCTAAAATCTTGACCCATTTTGAGGGTTTGTGGTGCAAATTGGGGGTTTTTGCATAACATAGAGGTAGGGGTCTCTAATTCCTACAATCTTGTTCCTTTGTGAATTAATTGTTCTTGATTAGTGTCCTAGTATGCTAAATTGTGATGATTGTTCCTTTGTGAATTAATTTTTCTTAATTAGTATCCTATTAGTATTCTAACATGCTATATTGTAATAATTGTTCCTTAAAGTGACTAGATTGTATATATGAAATATGTGAGAAGGTGTATTTAATTGAATTGTATGAAAATAATAATAATAATAAATAAATAAAACATGCTTAATGTGTCAGTTTTTCATGCCAATTAATTTGTTAGAAATTTATGTGAAAGCTTGTTAATTGTGTGTTAAAAATTCTCTCCATTTCCATATATGCACATAAGCATTGGGCATGAATGAGAAGGGAAAGTGTTTTGAAATGAAATTAAAAGGGGATTTTGGGGAGAATTTGATAAAATGGTTTTTTTGAGAAAAACCCGGTCGCCGCGGAGTCACCAAAGGGCCGGTGTGTTAATATAGCCTAGAGGGAATTACGGAGATTGCCCTAGTTTGGTTGAGCTATCTGGACCTCAAATGACACTACGGAGGTACTAAAGGTTAGGGACAGTAGCCAATCCTTCTCTCGTGTCATTGCGGAGTCACCAAAGGGCGGGTTATATTAACAGTTTTTGAAGTGATGATATTTTTCTGAAAATAGGGAGTGACATGCATAACATTGCATTCATTGCATGAGATTTATTTGCTTTGAACTAACAATTAATATTGTGTTTTCCCGGCTTTACACAACCCCAAATTCCTATTGTCCTATTCCTTGTTTGGATTGACGGGATACAAGAGGTGTGTCTTAGGCACCACCTACTGAGCAATTTTGCTCACCCCTTTTATTTAACATTTTTTATAGGAAATGGGAAAGAAGTGGCTGATGACATTCTACGACAGACTTAGTATGGATTAGGAGCTTATTTTGTTATTTTTGTACTTGGGTCACTCTATTTTTGTAAGACTAAGCATAATGTATTTTGTACGATGACTTATGGATTTTGAATATTATAATTATACCTATGGGCCTGTAAAGTATGGACATTTAATCTTAATCTTGTATTTTGGGACTGTAATTATGATACTTGGATGATATAGTATGCGGTTGTACCACCATGGAATGTATTAGATATTTATTATGTTGGGACATGTTAAAAATAATTTTAAACAAGTTGTTATTTTTAGTGGAGGTCATGCCAAAATTTTTTTAAAAAATTTTGGCATCAGTTAGGGTCGTTGCAAAACCAAAGCCAGTTCATCAGGGTGAAGATGATCAGAATGCAGCAAAGAAATGGTCAAGGTGTCCCTCCAATTAACAGGTCTTGAATGATACATATCAGAATTATTGCTTCCCAACCTCACTTTTTCCATTCGATCACGCGAATAAAATTCTTGCTTTACCTCATAAGGTTGTTCGTGAAACACCCGTACCCCATTCATCATTTCATCCACCACACTTTAGGGTATCCCATGATTAACCACTTGAAAAAAGCCCCACTTCTCTGATGCAATCTGAATTTCATCCACAATTTCTTTGCGTCGACGATCATCTTTTTCTATGCTACTTAGGTCTATGACTGGAACTTGAAGAGGGACAGTACTAAAGCAGCTATTCAAGTCCTGACCAAGCTCATCAGGCGGACGAATGAATATCTTAGGGATACTCACAATTCCAGCATCTACTAGTCCTTTGACACCGGCTTTTGTTTCATTGAAAGCCTTCACCTCTTTTGCTCGGTCAAAATCCATTGCAGTTTCTTAGCCAACCCTTTGCTACCCAGATATCAATTCCTTGTTTTGTAGAGAAGTTGATGAAGGTGTTTTAGCTGACATTGAAGGAATTTTTAATTACAATGGTCATAATTTAATAAAAATAACTATCATAAAATATTAATTCATAACAATAAATTTAAAATGTTAAATTACACTAATCTCTCTTGAAGTTTGGACAAATCTCACAACATTTAAGATTTCTTGTTTCGATCTCTCTTGAGGTTTGGGTTTATGTTCAACAACCTTCTCTATCCATCAAAACTTGTAAATTTTTTTTATAAAATGACCAAGTTGTCCTTACATTCATTTTTTTTATTTATTTACAAAATTTTTTTTAGGAGAGGGTAATGGCCCCAATGAGATTTAGTTTAATTAGCTCTCATATCCCTCTTTTTAAAATGATAAAATAAAATACCTAAATTATCCTCCATTATCTCAAATACATTATTATTCTTAAAAAAAAAATGTTAGCCTTTTTACCCTCTACTCTTTGCTCTATTTCTTCTGCACTTCTCCAGTGGCGGATTCATCACCGGTCCATTATCAGATCAATACTGGAGAGTGCTTGATTAAAAGCAAGGTCTTTTCTGTCAACACCAAAACTCCAATCATCTGTAGACCACTCACTTCCCCTGACTTCTTGAGCATTCAAAATCTGGAAACCCATTTGAGACTCTCTCTCTCCAAGATGGTTTACAGAGAGAGAAAGCTTAGGATCAACAGGAGAGGGAGGCATACTAAAGTTCATGTTTGGAAACCCAATGACACCATCACCATCATGATTCTTGATGTGTTGAAGACTCATTGGATTGAAAAAAAATAAAAATAAAAAGATGAACCCAGGAGTTAAAAGGGTAGAGACAAGAAACCAATTCTATTTTACTGAACCCGCAAGGCTCAATTTTCAGAAACAAATTTTGATTAGTTTTAGAAGAATCAGTGGAGAAGAGTACTGAGAGTTTGGAGATCTTTTTCTTGTTTCAAAAGCACAGAAAGTAATTTGCTCAAACCAATTGATGGTCCGTTGGAATAATTCATAGGCGTCACAGATAAGGCTGTATTACTTAAATTGTAGAAGTCATTATTTTCACTATCAAAGTTTAGGCTCCGTGATGAAAATAACAAGGGAAAGAGTGATCAGTTTTTGTTCATGGAATTATTGAAAAATCAATTGGGAGCTAAATTTTTGTGTCATCCCACGAATTGCAGCTTTGAGGAATGGATTTGGTGGTTGAATGCTAAATAGTACAATGCCGCAAACAGAGGCCTTGAGACTGAAAGAGGCAAAATAATGACCAGAAAACAATTGGGTTTCTCTCAAAATCCTCTCCTAGAGAGAAGCTGACTAGAAAATCAGTAAACAAATGAATTAAAAGATTTCATTTTTTTCATACTCTCTCTCTAATCTTTTGATGGTTTGCTCAAAGAGAAATAATGGAGAGAGGAAAGGGATGGAAGAGGAGATCACGACCATGGGGATGACCGATGATCACGATTCACGACTTCTACAGTCACCACATCCATTGTTTTGTTCAAGATCAATCTCTATCATTTGTCGCCGGTAGGATCTAAACTCCTCGCCGTCAACAACCGAGCCCACCTTGCTCATCGCCGTTGACGAAATCTAGCTGAGCATCGCTCCTCAACATCATGGTCGACGTGGTCCGGTTCTGGCCGGGTTTCTTCTTGCTCAATCCGATCACTTCACCGTCATCATCATCGTCCGCGTCGACCATTTTGGCAGCAGCTTCTCCGCCGCTGTCTTCTTCTCGGCCTTGGGAGCCATTTTAGAGAGAGAAAATGAGTGAAATTTTAGAGAGAGAAAGAGAGCGCTGGGAAAATTGAAGGAATAGGAGGACGGTATTGTCATTTCACATTTTATTTACACGCATCAGCAATGTATTTTTCATGGTTAAATATAGCACATTTTTCATATTTTAAAACAAAAATGTAAAAATAAAATTAGCTGAGGTTTAATATGGGAGTAAAACATTTAGCCCTACATATAATAATGTCAACCACAAAAACAAAAGAAACGGTCCAAGTGGGTGTTTGGATAGACAAATTGCATATCCACCTTTTGTGTTAAACAAATATCCAATCACCATCAACAAGTTCCCCATTGTCGTTCCCTTCTTTTTCTTTTTCTTTTTTTTTTTTTTTTTGTGATAAATTCTTGTTCGTTAATTTTCAAAAGCCCATTATCTGATTCGATGAAATATAGGGGCTGCCTTTTATTAGTGTGATTTGACCTAAATAATAGGTTTGGATAAATTATTTGATGATAACAAAGTGTTTGGCCTTTATTATTTTAACTTTCTTTAAAAATGTGAATTGTTTTTCATATTTTTATTTAGTTTAATAAATAAAAAATTTGTCAAACCAAAACACTATATGACCTTTTTATGTATTTTTTTTCAATGTTTTAAACACCATATTACTCTACTTAATATATATTCAAATAAAATAAAATAAAAACCTAATTAAATGTCATTAACAAAGAAATTATTTTTATAAATTTAATAATATAAACTTGGTATGAAAATTGATACTTTGCATTTGAATAGCAGTATTTCATGTATTTTGTCATTTTATGTCAAAATATAAAGTTATTCAGATCTTTTAACATAAGGAAATGATAACTTAGTCACTTTTTAAATTTTCATGAACAACAAAAGATTTGAGAAAGGTCAAAGTAATAAAGGTTAAACACACTACTATGTGTAATTTGTTCAAACCTAAATGGAGGAGATCAATGTAATTTACACCTAAATAATAAGTCTTACATCTAACAAACCGTGTGGTCCTAATTTTCCTATATTACCCAAAATTTAGATCCAAATGTCGAAGCATTTGGCTACTGAAGCATCTAAGATTTCATCTTTTCGTCTTCCTCTTGTTATGCTTATAAGATGATTTCATCTTTTCGTCATCCTCTTGCTAAGCATCTAAGATTTCATCAGGAGAGACTTCAAATATCGAAGCAAGTAACCATCTTTTTCATTTTTTACATATTGTGCCAACATTTTTTAAAACTGTGGTACAAAAGCTTTGGCTCTGTGACTTTGTTTTGGTCGAAACTTTGGGCTTTGTTACACTAGATATATATATATATATACATGTATATATATGTATATATATATATATATATATTATCCCAAAAATAAATAAGATAAGGTAATTATTAAAAAAGGGAGGACTTCCACAAAATGATCTTCTAAACCTCAAACCATAACCAGAATCCTCCCCCCACCCCCACACAAAATGAATGAATGAATAAATTCTCAACAAATAATAATCCTTACCAGAACTGGTATTATTTACTAATTATAATACTGTATGATTTGGCTGTTCTATAAACAACCAGAATTTGCAATAGTTTGTAGGAAACAAATACACAAAACACATAGAGGTCCTCCACCAGAGTTCTTTATCTATTACAGTGTATAATTTGTGGAAATCAGTCCTCTGGTATTTTTGCAGCTTCATAGCTTATAATGATCAAGCCCAGACTTATCAAGTGCCCTGGAAAAGAATTTGCTAAGATATTCACGTACTAGAAATTCTCTATATACTGGGGGACTTTCTTCTGATATCAGCTCTTCAATTGGGCCATACAGCTTTGCAGGAACAGCAACACCTGTGAAAAAACATGCCACGGAAATTCTTGGTCCGACACTGTTGGCCACCACTCTGTGGTCGGAACTTCTAAATTTGTCATTTGATATAATCTGTGCCAAATTAAGATTTCATTAGCATACTGCTATGAGCAATTTTTATTGGCACAATGGGTGTGCCGGCCACCATGATAGACTTATCTTACAATTATTTCATTAACGAACCTGGAGAAGGTCCCCGATGTTAACAACTAAAGCTCCTACAATGGGTTGAACATCAGCCCACTGGTTTTCATACAAGACTTGAAGCCCTCCAATTTGATCTTGTAGAAGAATTGTGAGGAAGGCAGGATCAGAGTGCTTGCTAACCCCCAGGGTTAGGTCTGGCTCTGGGCATGCTGGATAGTAGTGACAAACAAAAGTACCCCCTTTAGAACATTCCATGTCTGTTAGATGGTCCACTTTGAGGCCAAGCGCCTCTGATAATAACTCGAAGAGGGTATCTCCTAACTTTGAAACATTCTTGATGTACTCAATTGTTGTATCTCTGTAGAGTAAGAAAATGAATGTGATACCTAAAAAAATAAGAAAAATGAAGAAGAAAAAAAAAATTGAATGTGATGGAAGTTTGTTATGTCTGTTTATTTTGAGAAAGCGGTGAATAAGAACATCTTGAAACGGGAAATGGCAAAAGAAAGATATACGCACATGTACCAAAAGATGAGTGGAATGTCATATGTACAAGTACATGGTATAGTGCTAAGTGGAAAACAACGTAAGACGTACAACTAATGCAAATGTTTGATGGACATTTTGAGAACAATTTCTTTTGAAATGATTTTAGATGCAACCCCGTAGTCCTGGACATCTTAATATGAACAGTATGTGTGATCCACTGCACAAAGTGTACAGGGTGGAAAAATATTTTGTACTACTTTAAGTTTGGCACTGCAACCTGGATGGTGTCCAGTGATATAAAACCCTCAACTCAATTTGCTATAAAGCCATTCAGGGCTCCTCTATCGTCATAATGTCCCAGAGGACCCCTACAAGTTGCTAGGTGATGACTAATTATGCATCAAGAAAGTGACAGCAAGATATGAAAAGGCCGACTCACTGGGTACATATGTTTACCACCATCTTCCCAAAATATTTGTCACAGAGATGACATGCCAAACAAATCTTTAAAAAAAAGAATCAAATGTGATAAATTTTACCTACTAATCAAGACATATTTCTCCTTATCAAAACCCCCTTTGTGACACAAAATTCCACCCAAAGGAAAAGTTGGAAGTATGATAACTATTTGAATATGCCAGTGATATAGTGTTCTCTTGAAGTGGGAAAAATATCTGAATCACCCATTTAAGCAATCCGACACATCAATAGCTAGTCATGTGATCACTCTAAATTACAGAGAGAAACACCATCTTAATCACTACAACAGATCATCATACATCTCGGTTTATTTTTCATATTGGTTGACAATGCCCCAAATTTACAAAAAAAATTCCACATCAAACTAGTTATGTATAAAATCACCCACATACCAGTTTGGCTAGGTTATCGCTAATGGGTTATCAATTAACTCAACAACATGGGAATCAGGATTGAAGAATAGGTAGAGAACTAGAGATATATGAAGGTAGTAGTTAGGGATCAACAAAGTACCTGCAAGCCACGGGCACTTCATCAGGGTCAAGTTGATCAGAAAACACCATATTAATGGTCAACGTGTCCCTCCAATTAGCAGCTCTTGATTGGTACAGATCATAATTGCTTTCCAACCTCACTTTTCTCATTCGATCATGAGAATAAAATTCTTTCTTTACCTCAAAAGTTTGTTCATGAAACGACTGTACCCCTTTGATCATTTCATTTAGCACACTTAAGGGTATCCCATGATTAACCACTTGAAAAAAGCCCCACTTCTCTGAAGCAATCCGAATTTCATCAACAATATCCTTGTGTCGATCATCGTTTTCTATGCCACTTAGATCTATGACAGGAACTTGTAAACGGGTCTTAAAGCAATTCAACTCCTGAGCAAGCTCATCAGGTGGTCGAATGAATATCTTAGGGATATTCACAATTCCAGCATCAACTAGTCCTTTGACACCAGCTTTTGTATCATCAAAAGCCTTCAGCTCTTTTGCTCGATCATAATCCATTGCAGTTTCAGCTAATTCTTTGGTACCTGAGATATCCATTCTTTTTTCTGTGGAGGAGATAACCAAGGTACTTTAGTTGAAGTTGAATGAGTTATTAATTTCTGCTGTCATAATTTAATAAAAAATTATCATAAAAAATGAGTTTACTACTTTCATAATTTAATAAAAAATTATTATAAAATATTAATTCAGTCATAATCACAATAATCTAAAAGATTAAAAACAATTCTTAAAGCCATATGAGGGACTTGTCTCTATACATATATCGGAACAATTTCGAGCTGTGCACCACCAAACAGATAATCGACACCGTTTATTGTTTCCTTACAGCTATTTGTCCCTTTGAGCCTCACCCACCATGTGCTTTCTCTCTCCTGTTAAGCCTATATTTCTCTCCCTACAAGTATCAAAACTAACATTAAGAGACTCCATTTATATTGGCATTTCATAAGTACCCTTAAGAACCCAGATCTAGCTTGACTTTGGTCACAACACTTGGCTTTATGCCATTGATTTTGTGTACAATTTTTATTTTTTATTTTTATTGTTTTTGTGTACAATTAACCCTTCTTCTATTCTCAGAAAAAACTTGGACCTTCACAAACACAAAAAACCCATTATGATATATACACACACAATATATAATATGGACATTGCAAGATTGTCGTATGAGACTTCTATTACCGAGGATATTCACATGAAATTTGATTAATTTTTTACACAAATTTCGAAAACCTCATATAAACTGATAAACTTTCTCCAAAAATAATCACATAAAGAGGAATTTGAATACAATGAGATTTGTCAAGCTACTGGTAGCAAAATTCCAGTGACTGCAACGCAGATGTATGCTAATTAAATCATCGATTTTGGGGAGACTGAATAAGAACTGTCATTGTATCAAGTAATTGAATTGTGTTGGCTTCTAATTTCAATAATAAAAAAAAAAATTTTGTACGGTACCAAATTAAACATTGAATTTGCATTAGATCTGTCATACAATGTTTTGATAAAATGAATTCGTATTAAAACAACAAAATAATATATAAAATTACCTCTCCAACATGGTGACCAACTTTCTCCAATATTGTAGAAATTAAAATGATAACCGCAAAAACTAAAGAAACGGCCCATGTGGGTGTTTGATGTTGATGGAGCTCTCTTAATGTAGTATCTCCTCCTCCTGTCATTTTAGATCAACTAGAGAGAGAGAGAAAGATAGCTTTGAAAACGCAGTAGAAGAAATTCAGAAGGGTTTAAGTTGGATGGGTATTTGAAGAAAAAGATGGGCTGCAGTATGGTTTCTTGAAGTGTATACAAGTTGTCAAGAGTGGTGGTGGCGGCGGCGGCGGCGATGGCAATAGTGGAGGAAGTGATTGGAGGTGGTGGCGGCTGTGGAGAGGAGAAAATAGACAACGGGGGAGAAGAAGAACACACAGGAGAAAATAATAAGCAAGGTTAAAATAATAATAATATTGTTATTATTACTCTTATTATTATTATTTAATAATATTGTACTCTAATTAGTTTGCATTTTTCCCTTATTTATTTATTTTTAAACAAATACATACCCATTATTTATAATATGTCTCTCTCTTTTGAAAAGTATTGGGTTAGAAGCTTTTGATCATTTTTTTCTAAAAGTTTTCCTCACATTGTAATCTCAATAAATCGTAAAAGAGGTTAATGTATTTTGACTTAATTTAAATTAATTAAAAGAATCAGTCATTCACGGTCTAACCATTTGTATTTTCATTTTATATATATATATATATATATATATATATATATATTTTCAGCCTAGTTGAAGGGCTTTTTAGCAACAAGATGCTGAGTAATGAGATATAGTAATTCCACAGCCATAATGAAAATATAAGGAGTAATTGGATCTCATTGTCTAAACATTTAACCCCAGCAAAAAATAACTTTTCAAGGAACCATTTTCGGTTGAGAATTTTTTTGCCAGTTGAAATGGACTCTTCAAAAATATACCGAAAGTGTGTCAGCCTTGTTGTTCGGCTTTTGACGACACAATTGGGGCATATAAAGTTCCACAATTAATTATAATAAAGGACTTATGCTACCTGAGTTTTAAGACAGACTTAGTTTGTAATTTCAAAAATATTTCTCTCTTTTATACTACTCTAGAATTGAAAATTAAAAAATTATACGACTTTAATTATTTCAATTTTTTGAAAATTATTTTTTGAAACTTAATTATTAAAATATAAATATTTAGAAATAGCTAAAAGTAATTTTTTATTTTCAGAATTCTTCATAACTTTTTTCAAAATTACAAATCAAACAAGTTTTTACATTCTTGCACATTTTACGTTGGCACAATAAGGAAAATGCCATAGAAATGAAAATTATCAAACTACACCATTCATATGTGTCAAGAAATTTTGGTAAAATTCCACAATAATTCGTTTATTTGAACGTAAAATATTTTTCAAAATTTTTTATTTTTATTTTCTGATATTTGGTTGTCGTCACTGACAAAGTAAAAAAATAAAGAATATTTTATCTGAAAATAAAAAAAATTCAAAAAGAATATCTTACGTCAAAACAAACAAATCCTAAAAGAGTGAACCATCTATTCTCCAAACCATCCTTACTTCAACCATTTAATTACCTCGATTGCGAACTTTTGTATATGCAAGTATACATCAATCATCATCAATCTCTTGCTTAATTGGAGCAAACAAGTGGTACCATAACTATTAAATTTACATCGAGCTAGAGCTTGTTATCATAAATATTTAAGTAATGATATATCATCTGAATTCTGAATATATATATATATATATATATATATATAATTTTTTGTACTTCAAATGCAATAATTATTAACTCGGAGTGAATCAAGGATAATGCTGTATTAGCAAATAAGACGACAAAAATAACAAAAAAAGATCACACAAACGAACAGACCTACTCTATTTTGAAGTACCATATTGTCCTATCCAAATGCACTCCACCTGGTATTGTTTAATAAAAATGCTGTATGTTTTGGCTGTTCTATAAACAACCAGAATTTGCAGTATATAGGTTGTAGGAAACAAACAAAGACACACACATAGAGGTCCTCCACCAAGTTTATCTATTTATTACATTGTATGATTTGTGGAAAATCATTCCTGTGGTATTGGCTTAATACGAGCAAGGCCAGACTTGTCATAAAGTGGCTTGGATTGTGGCTTGTTATAGAAGTTGGTAAGAAATTCAGTTACCGTACATTCTCCATATACTTGGGGATTTTCTTCTGATATCAGCTCATTGATTGGGCCATACACCTTTGCAGGAACAGTCACACCTGTGAAAAAAACTGCCACCGAAATTCTTGGTCCGATGCGATTGGCCAGCACTCTGTGCTCCACACTTTTAAATTTGGCGTTCGTTATAACCTGTCCCAAAGTAATATATCATTAGAATGTTGTTATGAGTAAATTTATTGGTAACCTAGGTCACTGTAACAAGAAGTTTGCAATCAAGATAGACTTATTCTAATTAATGATAATTAATTTTTTGAAAAATAATAAGAAGCGAGGGGGGAGCATGGGCCCCATTACATAATATCATCCTAATATTATGTGGTGAGACCCACTCTTACACACTCACATATTTTTTATCAAGGATCTTCGAATTATAAAGATGCATCATTATTACTTTTTTTCCTAAAGGCTAAAATGAACCTCGAGAAGATCCCCGATGTTGATTACTAAACCTCCTGCAATGGGTTGAACATCAGCCCATTGGTTGTCATGCAAGACTTGGGGGCCTCCAATTTGGTCTTGCAGAACAATGCTGAGGATTGAAGGATCAGAGTGCTTGGTAGCTCCCAGAGTTAGGTCTGGCTCTGGGCATGCTGGATAGTAGTGACAAACAATACTACGCCCTTTACTACATTCCATGTCTTTTGTTAGATGGTCTGGTTTCAGTCCAAGAGCCTCCGATAATAACTCGAAGAGGGTATCTCCCAACTTTGAAGCATCCTTGATGTACTCAAATATCGAATCTCTGCAGAGTAAAAAAATGAATGTGATGGAAATTTGTTATTAGCCGTAGAAGATGTCGTAGTTATCTTAGGGCTTTGAGTTACAATAAATTCATGATGCATGTATGGTGAAGCTAAAGATAAAGAAAATTAAGAGTTTGAGTCACAGTTATCAAAACAAGACATTTTTATTTATTTATTTATTTGGCAAAGGAAGTTTTACATAATTTTGACACGACAACTATTACCCTTGGTACTGTCAATGTGATATGCGTGATCCGTGGGATATATTAGCACATATTAAACTTTCGATATTATTCAAATACTATTAAACTCGTACACAACACAAACTGTCATTCAAGTATACATGTTAATGGATTAGATTTTGATCTAAATATAATTTAATTATTCAGGTACAAATTTAATAAAAAAATATTGATAACTCAATAATAATTTGAATATGATAACCTGTTACCTTAACAAATCGAATATAAATTAAAGATAAACCGATCCGGCAATAATCTCATTCGATTAAAATTATATATATATATAGAGAAAAAAGTTTCAAATATAAATAAATAAATATATATATATATATATATATATATATAAGGCAATGTGCACGTAACACTTCTATACTATAAGATTAGTAGCATATATACCCCATTGGGCATTTTTGGAAAAGTAAAAGGGCAAAACAGGTATTATAACACTAATTTATGTCAGATGGGGTATTTTTGTACAATGTGAAAAGATTAGGGATGTTTTTTGTACATTTTTTTAAATAGAATAAAAATGTTACACGAAGTATACTTTATGAGTGTTTTATGCACTTATCCCATAAATATATATATCTTAATTATTTATCATTAGATTTTTATATATTAATAATCTACCATTAGAGTCATTTAGTAGGATAGTCGATCATATAATGCATCATAGAACTCTATACTCCACCTAGTCATATAGATTCAAATTTCATCCGGATTTGTAATAATCACTATATTAATTGGAGCATTTAATCTTACAATCCAATCCAAATAGCCCATTAGATAAACAAATTGAATACAAATTATGACTGATTCGTTAGGTTGATAGTCCTACAATGAGGGCCCCTCTATGCAACTTGTATGCACAACCAAATTATCAGTATTGTCATAACATACATACATGGAGGGCAATCAAGATTGAATAATAGTAGTTACAGAGATAAAGAAAGTACGTACCTGCAAGGGACAGGCACTTCATCGGGATCAATATATTCGGAAAGCATCAAAGAAATGCTGAAGGTGTCCCTCCAATTAGCAGCTCTAGAAAGATACAGATCATAATTGCTATCCCACCTCACTCTTTTCGTTGTATCGCGTGAATAAAATTCTTCCTTCACCTCAAAAGGTTGTTCATGAAACGCTCGAACACCATTCATCATTTCATCAAGCACACTTACAGGTATCCCATGATTCACCACTTGAAAAAAACCCCACTCCTCTGATGCAATCCGAATTTCATCCACAATTTCTCTGCGTCGATCGTGTTTTTCTATGCCACTTAGATCTATGACCGGAACTTGAAGATGGCTCTTAACGCAATTCGACTCGTGAGCAAGCTCATCAGGTGGTCGAATGAATATCTTAGGGATATTCATCATTCCGGCATCTACTAGTCCTTTGACACCGGCTTTTGTTTCGTCGAAAGCCTTCAGCTCTTTTGCTCGGTCGTAATCCATTGCAGTTTCTCAGCCAACTCTTTGCTACCTGAGATATCAATTCTCTGTTCTGTAGAGGAGATGATGAAGGTGCTTTAGTAGACATTGAATGAGTGTTTTCAACAACTGCTTTCATAATTTAATAAAAAATGAATTCTCGTAAAATATTATTTCAATCATAATCAAAATAATTTGGATTTAAAGATGCTATAGCTGGCTTAGCACAGCTTAATTTAAGTGGTGGCCGGACTAACATTAGAGTAATAAAGTTTGCTCTTGGATGTATATTAGTAAACACATTTAAAAAAATGTTTATTCGGACGTAATCGCAACAGTATATTTTTGAAAAATGATATGTTTTTTGTAAAAATTCAGTGTTCCTTTATGGAATATAACTACAAAAGCCGACAAATGATCCCTTTAACATGCAATCCTTTATATGTCCCCTGCAATGTAATCAATAAAATTACGTTGTTTTATTTGTTAGCATATTTCACCATGTTGTCACAATTCGTTCGTATTAAAAAAAATTTACTTAAATAAATCTGAAATTTTTTTATTGCATTAAATACTCCTTGGAATTCTATTTGCTCTAATTTTTTAACTTCTCTTTTAATTTGTCCAACTAATTTGGTATCTTGTGAATTAAATTTTTTTTTGTCCCCTTTTGTCCTACTATATAATTGTTCATAGGATAAAACTTCTTTCATAATTTAATAATCCTAAAAATGCATGTAATTATTTAATTTCTTCACTCTCTTCTGAAAAATCAAGAATTTTTTTTGTACAATGTGTTGCTGTCTTTAAATTTTGCCACCTTTAAGGTATAGTCCTTAAGATATATATTTTTTTCTAACTGCATTTTCTTAACTACTATTGATTTATCCTTGCGAAATAAATTCTTTAAATTTCATTTCTAGATGTTTTTAATGTTCTTGTTGTTTTGGCTCAATTGAAAATTAGTATTATTATTTCTATAAGTCCATGTACTACTCTTTCTCTTCCTATCAGTCTAGCGCAGCCTTTTTCATAGTATTTCTATAAATAAAAAGGAGTTATAAAATTTACAAAGGTCAAACCTTAAATATGAGCAAGTCCACGAACTATGGACAGACCCAATCACAAAAGAAACTATAATAAAACATAAAAGGGTCCAGCCCAACAAACTAAACACATTGTCAGTCTATAGAAGAAAACATAAACTCTTCGTGTGTAAGGTATTAAGGTATAGATAGATGGATATTATTGTTAATCTAGTAACTTTTGATTTTGATTTTTGTAAAAAAAAAAAAAAAAAAAAAAAAAAAAAAAAAAAAAAAAAAGGGCCTTTGTTTATGACTTGATGGTTTTTTGTTAAATTGGATAATTTACTATATAATGGATTAATAACTAGTTAGGGGCGAAATACATAGGTCTTACTTTCTAATGTGAATTTATTAATAAAAAACATTTATATCTTACTTTGCAATCCTCCCCTGCAACAGGGCACCTTTTTTATTTATTTCAATGCAAAGAATGGTAAACAATTTTTTAAAAAAAAAAAAAAAAAATTGGAATGGGGGTTATATATGTATATATATTGCTAGTTGGTACTCACACACAAATATCTCTTTTAAGACTTAAACCCCTGACCTACTTTTGGAAAGTAAGAAATTGATATCGTTAGGCCACTGATCCGTTGGTAATGAGATTATATATACATATATATATATATATATATGATAATCTCGGTTCGGAAGATGGCAGAATAACACTTTGATTATTTTTAAAATTACATTAGGATAAAATACAATGACTTTTTTTCTTCTTTTTTTTTGAGGTTTAATAAAATTACACGCAAAATTTTATGGGAATAAATATACATAGATAATTGACCAATGTTAAAAAAAAAAAAAAAAAAATGCATGTAAAAATACCATTCGACCCCAAAAACTACTCCATCAAGAATAAGGGAGCTACGTCTACCAGAGCTTCAAGGCTAGTTCAGAAATGGAGTATTTCACAGCCTATTTTACATCTAGAGCTGGTTTATGATAAATAATTTAATTAATACAGCAAATGCTATTATTACGGAGTGAATCAAGGTTAAGCGATCACACAAATGCACTGCATCTGGTATTGTTTAATAATACTGTATGTTTTGGATCTATTGTTTACCTACTCTTTGGTACCTGATTATTTTTGTTCAGTGGAGGAGGTGATGAAGATGCTTTAGTTGACCTTGAATGAGTTTTTAACCACTACTCTCATTATTTAATAATAATAAAAACATCATAAAATATTAGTTCAGTCATAATCACGATAATTTAAGATTTAGATAAGATGTTATAGCAAGCTTAGCAGCTTTAACAGGTGGATGAACATAAAATAAAGGTTTTTCTTTGAGGGATTAGTTCACATTCAAAATATATTGATTCAGTCGTAATCACAATAATTTAAAATAAAAAGAATTCATATATTAGTCTACACTAAACTAACAATACTGGCTTTCACACTTGTGAGACATTTAAATGCCATAAAGGCCGTAACTTAGAAGTACTTCCTCGAAATCAAGGGTCGAAGTTTTGGAAGGGATAAAACTAAATGTCAGTGTCTTAACCAAAAATAAATAAATAAAAATCCCTCCAAACCAGTAATGTAACACAATGACACCCTTCATGTTTGCTCCGCTTACATTTCTATCATCTCAGAGCTCTGATATTATGTAAAATGACTTACATGCCCTATGTCTCAGTTAAAGATCTATTTAACCTTAAAAAAAATAATACAAAAAGACCAAAATACTCCATAACTTTATATATTTACAATTATATGATTTATATATACACACATCTTCACTCCTCTTTCTTTCTTTCCTACTCTCGACGTGTGTGTTTGTGCGTGTGTGTTGTGTCTACATTTCATTCAATGTGATAAGAAACTTCACACGACGATTTCCAAATAGGATGACCAATCCCGGTGGTGAGGGCCGTTGGTTGAAGCAATAGCTAGGGCTTGGGTTGATACTGGCGGCTAGTACAAAATTAGGTTCTCGCCCCTATTATATAATTGGTTTGATGTCTTAGATGATCAATTAGGTTTTTCTATTATAATCCATTCATTTTAGTACTCTTAATCCAAACATCACAGACCATGATGTATGTATTAGTACTCAATAGTCAATTCTGGATATATATATATATATATATATGTATATAATCTTATATCTTCACGTAAAGAAATTAATACAAGGCTACAAGCTCTAACATAAATACAAAATGGGGGAAATTGATTAGATAAAGAAGACAGTGATGAATAATTCTCTAATAGAAAGGAAAACCAAAAATTAAGTGAGAGATAATAGATTGGAATTTTAGAAAATGGGGTAGTTTACATACCTTGTTCCGAGTGCAGTGAGAAGCGTTTGTGATTGAATCTACGGATCGGTTCAACTGGGTAAATGTAGAAGAAGACCATGAAACCAAAGTGGGTTTCTCTCTGCAACTGCCATAGAAGTGAGGAGAGATGAATCGATGATGATTGGGAAGAAGACATGCAAGCAGCCATGGCTTAGCTTATTAGAAGATACGCAGATTCATTCATATGTAGCTAGTTGAGAAATCGAGTATTCCACAATAAGAGTGAACCATTCATTCTTCAAACCACCCACTACTTCAACCATTTTATTTGAATTGCCAATCTTAGGGCTTGACATGAATGGTAGAAGTCTACCCTGGACTTAATTTTAAACAACTAGTATGCAAGTATCCATCATCAATCTATTGCTTTGAGCAAATAAGAAGTACCGCATCAATTAAATTTACATCTGGAGCTGGTTTATGATAAATATTTTGTACCGCAAAAGCTATTAATTCAGACCGGATCAAGGAGAATGCTATATTGGAAAATGAGACGCAAAAAGCAACAAAAACATACATTTTAAAGTACCAAATTGTCCTATCCAAATGCACTGCACTGGGTTAATGATACTGTATGTTTTGGTTGTTCTATAAACAACCAGAATTTGCAAATATAAACACATACAGAAGTCCTCCACCAAATTCTTTATTTATTACAGTGTATGATTTGTGGGAATTCAATCCAGTGGTATGGGCAGCTTCATAGCTTAAAATGATCAAGGCCAGACTTATCATCAAGTGCCCTGGAAAGAAATTTGCTCATATATTCCCTTATTAGAAATTCTCTATATACTGGGGGACTTTCTTCTGATATCAGCTCTTCAATTGGTCCATACAGCTTTTCAGAGACAATAATAGCTGTGAAAAAACACGCCACGGAAATTCTTGGTCCGACGCGGTTGGCCAGCACTCTGTGGTCGACACTTTTAAATTTGTCATTTGATATAACCTGTGCCAAATTAAGATCTCATTATTTTTTGGTAAATCCAATTAAGATTTCATTAGCATGATGTTACAAGTAATTTTTATTTGTGAACTATTATCAGGTCACTCTAACAATGAGTGTGGCATCATGATAGACTTAATCTAATAAATATTCCTTTAACGAACCTGGAGAAGGTCCCCGATGTTAACTACCAAACTTCCTACAATGGGTTGAACATCAACCCAGCGATTTTCATGCAAGACTTGGAGCCCTCCAATATGGTCTTGTAGAAGAATGGTGAGGAAAGTAGGATCAGAGTGCTTGCTAGCTCCCAGAGTTAGGTCTGGCTCTGGGCATGCTGGATAGTAGTGGCAAGCAAAAGTACGCCCTCTAGAACATTCCATGCCTGTAAGATGGTCCGGTTTGAGTCCAAGAGCCTCTGATAATAACTCGAAGAGGGTATCTCCCAACTTTGAAACATTCTTGATGTACTCAATTGTTGTATCTCTGCAGAGTAAGAAGATGAATGTGATACCTACCGGGGAAACAAAGAAAAAGAACAAAAAAGAAAAAAAAAAAAAAAAAAAAAAGAAAAAAAAAAAAGACAGATTGTGACTGAAGTTTGTTGTGTTTATTTTGAGAAATAGGAAAATCTTTAAAACTGGACATGGGAAATGCCATGAGAAATAGATACGTAT